CCCCAAAACCCCAAAACCCCAAAACCCCAAAACCCCAAAACCCCGTTTTTGAAGGGGATAATTGAAAATTTAAGTAATGTGTTGGGTAGAGAGGGAGATTTAGGTGTGGTTTAGTGTTTAGCAGGGGCTGGGGAGGGGTTTTGGAGGTAGGCTGCGCGGGAGTAGGATTGGGGGTGGTACTGGGCTGGCTGGGGAGATCTGTACATTGTTTGGGGAGGGTAGTAGGATGGACGGGGTTGGAGCTGCATTTGGGGCTGGGGTTGGGGTTGTGGCTGGGGTTGGGGCTGGGGCTGTTGTTGAGGTTGGGGTTGAGGTTGAGGTTGGGGTTGGTTTGGCCGAGCACTCGGAACTAGTAAAAATTAGAATATTATTGTTGATAGAAATTATACACAACGCCAGAATGAAATTTTAGTATTTTCCTTGGTAGAGTGTAAAAATAAATCCTTCGAATTATCAGAATTAAAAAAGTATACAAAATAATATAGCTTAAATTCTTACCTGTTTGAGGAGCCGAATATTGTCTCGCATGCTGAAAGTATGGATTCATTCTTGCTTGATTCATCCCTTGAGCAAATGCAGCTCTTGAAAAGCCTCCACCAGTGTTATTAAATCCACCGAATCTGTAGTTTCCTCTTATATTAAAATTAAACTGTCCTTGCATTTGAATTGGCTGATACACTCTAGCTTGATAAGCATTGGGGCCTGCCGGATAATATTGGACAGGTGTAGCATAACTCATTTGATACTGCATGGGGAACATTGGTTGTGATTGAAAGAACGGTTGCTGGAAAACTTGCTGAACTCTATTCTGTAATCCAGCATTAAACTGTCCATACTGGGCAACTCCAAAATATCTTCCCTGTTGGTTAAGAGCCTGTTTCTGTCTCTCGAGAGCTTGTTGTTGATTAGACTTCCCTGTAGCGATAAGATGCTCAAGGAACTTAAGATTAGCTTCCTTCTGTGTCATTGGGTTAGCTCGGTTGTAGTCAGACGAGAAGGTAACATGGTTCCTCTCATAAGTCTGTTCATCAAATTTTCGAGCGTCAGTGGTGCATTTTCCAACAATAAATCTAAGAGGGATTATCATGAAGATAATAGTGATGATAAAGGCTCCAATCCCAATGATGTTAAAGTGCCCTTCAGATAGAATGTCTGAAAAAGAGAGCAGTGAAATTGCATATAAGAAGCAGAAGAAAGGGATCATCGAGCTGAACACTTGAGCCATTGTTGCCCCAATTTGCTCTGGAATTTTATGTCTACGAAGGAGAACATACTTTTCGACCCAATATTGCCACAAAGCTCCAAAAATTGCAATAACAGAGATTATGGGAAGTGGGTACATGTAAAATACAACCATACAGAACAAGAGCATTGTATTAGCGTATCTCTGAGCCATATCCAATGGAGGTCCTTCGAAAAGAGCGTTGGCTTGTCTCTGTGTGAGCTTTGATTTGTCACCTTTCTTTTTCTCAGATATCCTCCTACATAATTTGATGAAATAAATAGGGTTCAGTAAGTATACAAGAGGGCTGATAAAGCTGATAGTTAGAGTATTAAAGAAAATATCAACCATGAGACCTCCAGCATCAAACCAGTTTTCTCTTCCAAAGTTAACAAACAGTGGAGATATTCCTGTATTAATAAACATAGCTATGGTAAGCTTGACTGCAACTGATAAATGATACTTTGAGTAAGTCTCGTGTTTCTCATATGTCGCTAGTACACGAATAATTCTTCCAAGAGTGACATTAATAATAACAACAAAAAATGAAGTGAGAAGAGATAAAGTTCTGATCAAGAAGCTCTCAAAGCTTGTGTCTCCTGTATTGGAATCATTATCAATAGCTTCTTTAATAAAGCTCAGACCAAGATTAATTCCAAAGGCGACAATTAGACATCCGAAGGCGATCAAGTTAGTATAGAATCCTCTTTTGACCCTTTCAATAGTTTTTACAGAAAGGTTTTCCCAATACACATCTGTTGGCTCTGATGGTCTTTCTATGTAGACTCTTTTTCCTTCCCAGTATCGGTCATCAACTTTGGACTTCTTACACTTGAATATTTCGTAGATTATGAAGGAGAAGGCCCTTCTAATCATGTTCACTTCGAAATGATTAATGGTCATATTAGAATGACTTTGTTTATCAAAAACAATAAAGGCTGTACCGCAGTAGAGATCTTTTTCTGTATTTATTTCAAGCTCTTTCTCAAGTTCGCCCAGTTTTTTCTTATGTTTAGCAATGGATAAATCAACTGATTGGATATCAGGATACTCCTTCTTTCAGAAACATCATCACAAAGTTCGAGGAGGAGGTGAAAGATCTATCTCTTTGGATACTGCTTCGTGCTCTGACATTCCAAGTTTCTTCAGTTTTCTCTTTTTATAAGCTTCAAGATAAGCCTTGGTCTGTTGGAGGAAGGTCAACTTTCTAGCAACACGAACAATATCATTGATGTCATAACAATAGTTAATATATTTAATCTCAAGAGCTGGGAGTTTCTCTTTAAACCACTCTTCAACTTCTTCCTGAGTTTTATTGATTGGCAAGTGAGTAGCCATCACCGCATAATCCGAAGGTGTAAGGTTCTTCTCATCAATCTGATTGATAACTTTATTTTGCATAAATATTAAAATAGCTCCTCCTACAAATACAATCAAAATAATGATGGAATTCAAAATTTGCATAACATGAACCGGCTGTCTATCATAGTAAGAATAGTGCATTCCATGGTTTCCAATAGATGTCTTTACAATAAATGATGAGTCTTGGTCCCACTCCTCGCCTCTATCCTTGTCATAATTAATGGCTATCCCTGCAATTCCAGCAATAATAATCATAAATATGTACATCACAATGGTGAAGGACTTAAATTGATAATAAAGAGGGAAGCCTGCGCCAAGATCCTCAAGGTTCAGTACGTTTGTACATAACTCAAATGGCTGAGTCAATTTGTCGGTGGGAAGCCTTCAACATTTACAATAATTAGCCTCGTTCTCAATAATCTCTGGTTTTATTTCTTTAGTAATAATGTTGTTAACTTTATTAGCCTTTCCATGTATCTTAGCCCATTCAAAGTCAGGAGGACATTGGTCTAAGGGGTCATCTTCATCAACCTTCTCAGTGTTTTTATAGTCCTCAAGGTTAATTTCCTGAAGATCTATATGGTCAGATTCATCATCATCTTCTTCCTCATCTGACTCAGAGCCTTTACCAGAAGGCTTATCGTCTTTCTCTTCAGAAGGTCCATGATCTCCAACAGAAGACTCTGATTCTACAGAGGAAGCAGATGGAGGGTCTAATTCCGAAGATTTAACGCTGGATTCTACTTCAGAAGCTGATTGAATCTCTACAGATTCCTTTAGACGACTTTTTGATTCTTCTACATTTTCGCTCATTATAAAATATTATATTTCAAAATGTTTGAAATTTATAGGGGTTTTGGGGTTTTGGGGTTTTGGGGTTTTGGGGTTTTGGGG